GGAGGAGGCGGGATCATCTGGCCGCCCATGGGTGGCATAAACCCGGGGGCCAAGATGGCATTAAGGGGTATCGGGCCTAGGGACGGTTATCAGTTATTAAATGAGGTATGTTATCTTCTTACCTAGAGGTAGAGGGGGGACAAAGTCTGGAGGCAGCCTTGGGGCTTGATCGTCAGAATCAGAATCGGCACCTCCAGGTGGTGGACCTGGCGGTAGCAATACATCCTCTAGACCAGAATCTGGATCATCTGAACCTTCATCGTCTTCTGCCGCTTGAAGCGGATCTGGGGTTGGTGCTAGAGAACCTTTTAATATCGTCGAGATATAGATGTGCCCGTACTCACGTCTTTCTCTATATGGCATCCCAGGTGGTGGGATACCATATGGATTCATGACAGGGTCATAATAGATGCTCCGTTCTGGACGCAAGGGCATTCCATCTTTTCCAAACAATTTTCTGTCAGGACCCGCTGGGCCTCCCTCGGCCTGTTGTTGTCGCTTGCGGGTGCTGGCATAAACCAGAGCGCGATGTTCGGGGTGATCCTTGAGGTAATCCTCCTTGAGTTTAGTGATTCGTTTCAGCTCGTGCCTCAAGTGAGAAAGGCGATTCTTATCCACGCCCGTCGGATCTGGGGGCAATATACGTCAGAAATTAAGTCATTAAGAAAAGTGCCCGAAATGATCGTGCATCTTGGCTACACACCCTCTTTCGCTTCCAATTCCTCAATTTCGTCCTCGATGGGCCCCAGGTCTTGCTTGGCATTTGTCAACTCTCTTGCTTTCTTACGTGTCTCCTTTTGCTAAGCCCGGTAAACCCCGGCCAGTTAGGGGGGTTTGATAAAAGACGTCGCATGGAAAAACTTGCCTTTGCCAACTCTTTCTTGCGCTGACTCTTCCCTTGGCACAGTCAGCAATAAGTAGATTGCGGTGAATGAATACGTACTGTGTGCTTCTGCTGGGTTGATCGACTTTGTTTTTGCCATGAGTTATGTTACGTGCGGAATTGTAACTGCCGGACGCCGCAGAGTGAGGTTTTGTAATGTTTGTCCCGGGGCCAAGTCCCAAAAAAGGGACACGGGCGGGTAGAGAGAGAGAGAAGGGGAAGTCGCGTCGCGCGTCGACCCACTGGGTCGAAATGAGACCACTTTTTTTATCGTCTCTTTGGTTCCTTCAAACCTTGGATCCCAACCATGCCTATCTCTACGAAACAAAAACATACAAACGGGTATCATTATCCCAGCAAAAAGTCGAGCGGGACGACTTCGTGGGTCAAGTGGCTCGGAGGATTATTTGTCGCGTATTGGCTATGTTCGTTTCTCGATAGAATAAAGGTGCGCTCTCCTTTCGCCGTCAATCCGTTCTCTCTACATATTACCTTGATTCCATTCTCTACGTTAGCTGCGCGCCGGCTTCTTACCATTTTCCCTTTGCGCGCGGCTCACCCTTTTTTCTAAACTTGTCTAACGCCAAAATCTCGTTTAACCCGCTAACACTAACGCGTTCCACATGGTCACCTCTCGATCTCATCTTTCCTTGCTCTTCGACAATTATGGATCGGGATCTCACAGGACCGGTGGTACATTCTAGACCCGACTCAACTGCATACACTGTCGAAAGACGCGATCGCAAAGCACGGGTCCAATACTGCGGGCATTATCGATCACATTGTGACTAATCTCACCGAAACATACGGCACAAAATACATCAATCCTCGGCAGGAGGAATGGGTTTTTAATAACGCGGGCGGTGCCATGGGTGAGCTATTTTTTCCTCACTAGTCGTAGTGGGCCATCATAGTGGATGCAATACTACTACTACTCGGCTACTCGCTACTCGCTATGATTAGCACGAGACGAGTAGCGTTACCCCAGAACGCCCGAAATAGGATGTCACTCGCTCTCCCATCCATCGTCGTTCATTTAGCCTTTTCGAGGCACGCTCGGTTGAATTGTGATGCATGGAGGGTGTACGGGCGGGATAAGCCTAACTGCGCTGCGTTCCCCCAAAAACATGACTTATAGCGATCAAACTGACGATGTATTAGGTACCATGTATGTGATTCACGCGTCTATCACAGAATATCTGATCATATTCGGAACACCTATGGGGACGGAGGGCCACACGGGACGACACACGGCAGACGACTACTTTAATATTTTGGTGGGAGAGCAATGGGCCGCAAAGGCCGGTGCATTAGAGATGGAGGTGAGTAGGGTCTAAAACTATTCTTCCTGCCTGTTCGCTGTTTGCCGTGATCCGTGAAACACGAAAACGATCCCATTCCCACTCGTTGGCGTGGTTGTTGTTGATGAACGTGACACGACAACGACAACGACGACGACAACTACAGTGATGAACTCGGCACACGCCACACTCGGGGGAGAGGAGTGCAGGGGTGCGCTGCACGAATCCCAGCGCTTCGAGCGTGGCGATGCGCTAGAGCAGTGATCGAGAGATCCTATCTCGTGATAAATTGCAAAATAGGACGTCCTGCTGTCTATTACACAATGATTTTGTTGATGCTGGAATGATGCGGCACTGGGGGCTAACAAATTTGCCGTTTGAATGAAAATTAGGTGTACCCCGCTGGGTCGGTCCATCACCTACGAAGAGGGGAGGTGAAGCAATACAAGATGCATCGTGGCTGTTTTGCGCTTGAATACGCTCGTGGTATGTGGCATAGTCTTTTTCACTTTAGACTCTCTCCCTCCCAATAAGCTATGAGTTTATGAGATGCCGATCTACGGAATTACTGACGAACACTACGTACAGGATGGATCCCACTGATGTTACCGTTTGGAT